AAAACGCAAATGAATTAAATTTATAAATTTTATATAAGAAAAAATTGTAATCAATTGTTACTTTGAATGACTAGTTATTCATATATATGCATATAAATCAATACATTTTGTAGACAAAAAACCTATTAAAATGAATAAAAAAATTTCTGTTAATGACATTAGATGTGAAATACTTTAGATATTTTATATACGAAAAACATATTCATATTAATAACATGTAGTATTCAATTCATAAGCAATTTTGTGCAACAATTCATTGGTATCACAACGACTGGTAATCATATAAAATCATTGCAAACACCAATTGAATGAATTAATAAACAAATGGAAAAAAGTACTCAAATATTCAGTCTTAAAAATCATGATAAATATGAAAATTTCGCTCAACTTTTCCCCTAAAACTTATATATTAAATGAGTTTACATATAGTTTTTCAGTCGTTTAAGTCACGCAACGGTCAGACCGTTATCGTTGACCGAAGGACTCAGTTTCGAGAAGATCTCATTGCTTTTGGTCTCATTGGCATCGCTCTCGTGGTCGCCGCCGTTCACCGACTTCTCCGTCGACTCCATATTGGAGTTGAGTTCGTCATCGTCTGAAGACATGGACGACGTGGTCGACGAACTCGAGTGCGACAGAAGTGAGCGGTTATTACTTTTCTGACTGAAGTGAACGGCGCACCGCTCGGCCAGGTCTTCGTAACTCTTGCCGTGAAGCAGTGTAATGAGCACAACAGTCATGTTATCGCACCCCAGGCCTCCCATCTGACAGTCGGGCGCTAAGCACCGGGTCATCAGCTCTTCGCATATCTGAACAGACATTAGATTTATTCATTAAATCACATTTAAACCAATAAAACACTCATTTTATACCAATTGGGGCTCCATTTTGGCGGCGATTCTCATACGTATGAAAGAGACCACTTCATCGTTGGTCATCACATCCCATATGCCATCGCAAGCGATTATAATGAACTCGAGGTCGTCGGTCACGTCCCTCACCTGGACGTCTGGATAGGCCGTCACAATCTGCTCCTGAGCCGACTTCTTGTCATTCCTCTTGAACACGAAGTCTCCCAGTGCTCTGGAAAGGGCTAAATTGCCGTTCACTCGGTTGAACTC